GTTGTCCAGAGAGCATAGATATTTGCATGGTTTATTAGTTTGATACTGTAGCGAGCAGGAAGTTCAAGCGGGTATCCATTAGAGGTTAGAGTATAGAGAGGATTATAGATATTATAAAAGTTAAATATAAGATATAGTGCATTGGGGGTAAATATTAAAATATTATACTAATAGATTATATATATACTATATATTTATATATAATTATTTAGGACAATTTTAATGCTTACAAGAGGTGAAATTCACCAGGATGCTGTATCTCAAAAACATACTAAGTAAATGAGATCGGATACTCTAAGTAAAAATATTCAGAACTCTTAAAAACTTTACAAAAATCAAGATTGGATCTTATATTATTTTTATATTATATTATATAAAAAAAATATAATTCTCAATACACTAACCCTAACCCTAAAAATTCTTAGGCCGGTGAATTTCACCACTGGTTAATTTTAAATTAATTCAATTATTTAAAAAAAAATTTTACTACTATATTTACAAAAAATTAGCTAATAAATAATATTTTTTTTACTATATTTCAAAAGCTGTTTAAATAATTTAAATTAAATAAAAATTTTTAATATTTTAAAATTTTATATTTATATAAATTTTAATTTTTAATACTAACTTTTTATATTAACAAATTTGCAAAATTATATTTAAATTAAGATTTACAAATTTTAATAATAAGATTATAAAACAAATTTAAATGCTAACTATTGAAAAAGAGCTTATATATATTTTACTTTTTTCTTTTTTTTTACTTTTTTCTACTTCTTTTTATACTTTTTTTTTATTTTTATACCTTTTTTTTAATCTTTTTTATCTCTTTTAAAAAAGATAAAAAAAGTAAAAAAAAGTAAAAAGAGAGTATAAAGAGAGTATAAAGAGAGTAAAGAAAGATATAAAAAGAAGTAAAAAGATAAAGAGAAGAGAAGAGGGTGGTAGTATATATGAGCTCTTTTTTGTTAGTTCTCTTAATATTTTGTAATTATTAAATCTAAAAACTTTAATTTAAACCTAATTTTACAAATCTGCTAATATGTATTTTATAAAAATACTCTGTTTTATATTAAAAAATATATGATGTTAAATATAGTAATAATTTAATATTACGTATTGTTAATTAATATAGCATAACCAAAAAACGTATAATACAGTATATTATATATTATACTGTATTAATAAATAATTATTTAATAAAAATTAATAAAAAAATTTATTATATACTGTATAGTAAAAAAAAAAAAAAACCAAAAAAATTGGTTATAATCTAAAAAATAATTTATAATTAAAAATTTTTTTAATTAATAAAGTCTTTAACTTAATATGTTTAGCTGTTTTGTTATATAAAAAAAATAATTTTTATTTAGTATATAAACTCGTATTACAAAGAAGTGTTTAAAAAAATACAGATATATGTTAATTATTTTATAAAAAATTGGTTAAAAAGTTTAGTTTTAATTAATTTAAAGCATTGGTTTAACAATATATTTTTTTTATTAAAATTTAAATTAGTATGTAATACTATAAAATATTATATACATAGTATATTTGGATAATTGGATACGTACGTTGGTGTAGAAATTTAAAAACTGATAGTGTAAGTAATAAAAGAATTATCAAAAAATTATTCAAACCAATTTAGATATTTTCTAAAAAAAAAAAAAAAAAAACCTAATGATAAATTTTCAAATTTTAGAAATTTTATTTCGAAAGGCTTAATGAAACTATGTAACACTTAGCAATTAAAGTATTTAATCTAGTTTTTGCAAGATTTTACAGCCATATATAATCACATCAACTGTATTCAAAATCAAGAAATCATGCTTGATCATTTCTTTAGGAAAAACTTTGAAAAAGAATTCGGAATAAAAGAATCCTACTCCGGAATCAATTTGGCCTATTAAATCATGATTATAGATTCAATAGCTCAATAGCGGAACAATCAAACCTAATTAAGAATAGCATCTTAGGCTTCCAAGGCTGCATCCCAGGCTACAAGGCTAATTAAGATATCAAAAACCTTAACTTTATTTATTTCAATCTATCGTAATATGTTGTAATATGTTGTGCATCATTTCCGACAGATCTGAATAAACGTAGAAATGCACTATAATGAAAATCTTGTTGAAAATCTGTATACATAAGAATGAATTTGTATAATTTGGACTAATGCAACCGTTGCACACAAAAATAGTATGAAAGTAGACATCTTAAAAAAAATCTAACAATAGCGATAGTGATAGCGATAATATACTTGTAAAGCCTTTAATTTTAACGCCTTTGAGAATAGAAAGAATAATAATAATAGACTAAAGAAAGATAGAAAAAGTTGTACTAAGACAATTCATATACATATTTATATATATTTTCACACACATTTTATGTTAAGCGATTATTTATTTTATCTGTGGAGAATCATAAATTGCTAAGCCAATACTTCTATGAAAAATAGAATATTGATAAAAAATAAATATTTTGTGAGATAAGTTGTAGGATATTTACTTTTTTAATGACAATATAAAGCAATTAAGGTATTTTTTTATTTGCTAATATGTGAGCTTTTTAGAAAGCTACAATTGTGTTGACGTTATGTTGACAGCAAATGCCGCATTTGACCAATCTTAAAAGATAAGCTTACGCCGATCATCAACAGTTTGATTTTAACGGTAAATTGGGATTCAAATTGAAACACAACTTAAATGATAATAAGATTGATAATAAGAAAAATCGGAGACTTAAAACTGTTTCTCCTATAAATTAGACAATGTAAAAACTTGCGTAATGTCAAAGTTTATCATAAAGGAAGTCAATGTTTCACAGATCAATGCGGTAATCTCCACATGGGCGTCTTCTCAAAGCCTGGAAACCCCAAGCCCTTGACAAAATCATAAGTGCTGTTACCTGTTTGGACTTCTTATGGCGATAATGTTTGTTAATGTTGCACAAACAGGTGTAACTCCGTGTCAAGTATAAATTTGGAACTTTCAGGCACAACTAAATTTTTCTTCAGGAAAACGTTTTCCAACTCTTAATGACTGAAACTGTCTTCGGTAACGAAGAGGGTTCGCAAACCTTATATGTTAATCCTGTTTTTGGTGGCTTTCTAATAAATTGCTGCTCAAGCATGTCACATCAAGCCTGGACTATCGCGGACTTACCACACCGTCATTGGAAATTAAAATATTTACCTGACGAATTTCGCGCTTGCGATATAAAAGATGAAAACCACCCATATTACAGTTTATTACAAACTTTTGACCAACTAAGAGACTTACGTTATTATACTGATGACATTCCTATGTTGGTCAGCTTAGAGCCGAAGCTAAAACAGATCGGCAAGATCATCGATAAATTGATCGACTTACCTGGTCCTCATGCTAAAGGAATTTTTGACTTTACTGCTCTCTCAGCTTATGTTCACACTATTAATGATTTATGGTCAAAAAGAAATCAAATGTTTATGACTCCAATATGGAGGCAACCTTTAGGTTATGAAATGAGACATTATACAGAAAGTTTAGTTTATGATCCTGAATTATTCACACAACTTACTAATATTAACCTTATATTTGACTGGTGGCTGGGGAAACCTCAGTTCGATTTTTGGATCGGCATTATTGACCTAAATTTTGACATATATCCAACTCAATTGGAGGCTTACGTTCATTGGTGTAAGTTTCTGTACAATCTAGATTATCACTTATATTATATTCTTGTTTCACAAATTACCTAATTTGTCTTTTTATTTATTAAATATTTACAGACAATGCAGTTTTCTTCCCGTTGATGAAAGATGTTACTAAAAATCTTGACAATCATAATGTAAAATCGAATAATACGATCGAAAAAAATGATAATAAATTAATTAAAGAAAGTAATAGTGATTCTAGTGAGAGTGAGGACGAAGAAGAAATTGATATTGTAGGAAACGATAAAGAAATTGAAAAAATTGAAAAAGAAAACAAAAAAATAATTAGGCGCATGATTGATGATGAATCTAGTGATTATGAATGGAGTAGTTCTTCGGATTGTTAAATTGGTTAACTCCTGCATTGATTTTCATGAGGATTCTAAAAACATTCACTTCCTTTGGCTTCGTGCCACTCGAAGAAAAAGTCAACTTGGGAAATTTGTGCATGCGACGTGGTCACGTGGTTACGCGAACTCATATTTCTAGTATGTATTAACATTTGTATATATATTCTCCCGCAGATTATCAAAAATCTAGAGTAGCATAAAAAGTATAAAAAGTAAAATATCAACATTACCAAAAAAAAAAAAAAAAAAAA